AGTTATAAAATTATTTTTTATGGTTTTTTTCTACAAGCTTTGTATTTTTAGCTTTCATATTTAGGTCTATGATCTATACCGAGTTAATTTTTGTGTATGGTATGGACAAGGGGATTAAGGTTCAGTTTTTTCCCACATGGTTATGCAGTTATTTTATTTTATTTCTTTTATCCTCACCGGAGGACAGTTTTCCACTTTTTGTTCAGATAGAGTGGGAGGAAGAGAGAGAGAGAAACATCGATGTGAAAGGGACACACTGAGTGGCTGCCACCCACACTACGAAAACAGAGCCGGGGACAAACTGCAACCGAGGTATGCGCCCCCAGCGGGAACCAAACCTGGGTCTCTCTGGTCCAGGGGACAATGCTCTAACCGCTGAGCCAAACCAGCCAGGGCGGTTATGCAGTTATTTAGCACCATTAAAAAAATACTTTCCTGCCCTGGCCGGTTTGGCTCAGTGGTCAGAGCATCAGCCCATGGACCAGAGAGTCCTGGGTTCGGTTCCTGCTGGGGGGTACGTACCTCGGTTGCAGTTTGTCACCAGCCCCAGTTGGGGTTGTGTGGGTGGCAACAAATTGATGTGTCTCTCTCACATTGATGTTTCTCTCTCTCTCTCTCTCTCTCTCTCTCTCTTCCTCTCTCTCCTTCCCACTCTATCTGAAGAACTCTATCTGAAGAAAAATGCAAAAGTGTCCTCAGATGAGGATTAAAAAACAAAACAAAAAACTTTCCCTTCCCCTTTGAAAGACTTTCCCTTCTCCTTGATCTGGGAAGCCCAAGATCAAGACACTGACATTTGTCAGGTGAGAGCCCACTTCCTGCTTCATAGAACTGTATCCTCACATAACGGGAAGGATACCCTGGCCGGTTTGGCTCAGCGGTCAGAGCGTCGGCCTGCGGCCCAGAGAGACTAGGGTTCGGTTCCCATTAAGGGCATGTACCCCAGTTGCAGTTTGTCCCTGGCCCTGTTTGAGTTGTGCAGGTGGCAACCACTCGATGTGTTCCCTTCATGTCAATGTTTTTTTTCTCTATCTTCCTCTCTCTCCCTCCCACTCTATCTGAACAAAACAAAACAAAACAAAAAATGTCCTCTGGTGAGAATTAAAAAAATAAATAAATAAATAACGGGAAGGATGCAGGAACTCTCTGAGGTCTTGCTTCTAAAAACATTAATCCCATTCATGAGGGATCCATCCTCATGACCCAATCCTTCCCCAGAGCCCCACCACCAAATACCAACACACTGGGCATTAGGTTTCAAACATACAAATTTCTTGAGGGACACAAACATTGAGCCTGTATCAGGGTTTATTTCTCATTATTTTGTCCAACTGACCTATTTGCTCATCCTTATGCCAAGACTACACTATTTTACTTATTGTGGCTTTGTAAAATTGGCATTTTTCTTCCAAATATTTTATAGAATTCACCAGTGAAGTATGTAACTTGAGAGTTCTTTGTCGGAAGGTTTTAGATTACAAATTCACTTGTTTTTCTTCTCCCAATAGGACTACTCAGATTTCCAATACTTTGATTAAAAGCCAGATTTCTTGGATTTTCTTATTTGGCCATTTGTTTTCTAGCTCACTGATGTCTGTTCTTATCTTTATTATTTCTTCAGTTCTGCTTTTCTTGAATGAAATTATTGTTTTTCTAACTTTTTTGAGGTAGCAGTTTAGATAACAGTTTAAACCTTTTCTTGTTTTCTAACATATACATTACATATATAAACTCTCCCTCTGAGCATTCATTTAGCTGCATCTGAGCTAATTTTTTCATTATTGTTTAGTTCAATACATTTCCATTGTAATTTCTTCTTTGATCAAAGGGATATTTGTAAGTGTATTACTATTATTATTATTATTATTATTATTATATTAAACTGAAGGGTGTTTTTTTTTCTTCTTCAATCCTCACCTAAGGATATTTTGTTGTTGTTGCTGTTGTTTTAAATTGATTTGAGAGAGAGAGGAAAGGAGAGAAAGAGAGAGCACTGATATGAGAAGCATCCATCTGCTGCTCCCCTGGTGCTCCAACCTGGGAACCAAACTGCAACCTGGGCATGTGCCCGGACCATGAATCCCACCCCAGACCCTTGGTGCACAGGATGATGTGCCAACTGAGTCACACCAGCCAGGGCTCTGAGTATATTATTTAATTCTCTAATATTTGGGAATTTGAAAAGCTATCTTTTTGTTACTGCTTTTTAGTTTAATTTCGTGGTGGCCACAGGTTTTTACATGATTTTAACCATTTGAAATCAATATATTAAGACTTGTTTTATTTCCTCCATATGGTATATTTTGTGAATGTTATGTATTTGAAAACTTTAATTCTTCTCAGTAATATCTTGAAAGTTCAGTATAAAGATTTTGAGCCCTGGCCGGTTTGGCTCAGCAGTTAGTGCGTCAGCCTGTGGTCCAGAGAGACCCGGTTTCGGTTCCCGCCAAGGGCATGTACCTCAGTTGCAGTTTGTCCCCGGCCCTGGTTGATCCTGCGGGTGGCAGCCACTCAATGTATCCCTTTCACGTTGATGTTTCTCTCTATCTCTCTCTCTTCCTCTCTCTCCCACCCACTCTATCTGAACAAAAAATGGAAAAATGTCCTCGGGTGAGGATAAAAAAAAAAGATTTTGAGTATCTTTCATTAAATACAATGTTTTCTGTATTGTTTCATAAGGATATTATTTAGGTCAAATAGGTTAATTGTTTTTTTAATTTTTCTGTATCCTTATTTTTGTGTCTGCTTGTCCTATCAATTACTAAGACAGGAATGTTAAAAATCTCTAATGATGAATGTGTATTTGCCTGTTACTTCTGATTCTATTAATTTTCCCCAAGTATTTTAAAACTTGTTTGGTGTATAAACACTAACAATTATTTTTTCTTAATGAATTGACCCTCTTATCTTTATGAAATGTCCCTTTTTACTTCTGGCAATACTCCTTAAAGTCTACTTTGATCTTAACATAGACACTCCAAGTTTCTGTGATTAGGATGTGCATGATAGGTTATTTTCTATCTTTTAAATTTCAACCTCTTTGTGCCCCTACATTTAAAGCATGTCTCTTTTAAATAGCGTGTATTTGGGTTTTGTTGTTAGCCAATATGACAATTTCTGTTTTTAATTGGAGTGTTTAATCCACTTACATTTAATGTAATCACTAATTACAGCTTGCTTTTTGTTACTGTTTGTCCTGTGTGCTTTTTGCTCATTCTTTGCTATATTCTTGGGATTGAGTATATTTTAACTTTCCATTTTCTTTCCTATCTCAGATTTTTAGCTATGCCTATTATTTTTTCATTAGTTGCTCTAGGTGTTACAGGAAAGGGTACCTGTTCCAGCTGCTGGTGTGTGGGTTCTTGACTTCGTGCAGGAAAAGTTTCACAATACAAGTCCAGGTGAATTTTAAGGGACATTTATTAAAGCTGGGGACAGTGAAACAAGAAAGGGCTGGGGAAATGAGCCTAGGCTAGTCTACTTTGGCTCACTAAGAAGTCAGAGAAAAGGGGGCGTTTGGACAGATCTAGGGGGTTTACCTGAGAGGAACTGCCACTGCCCATTGCTACCCTAGTTGCAAGCCTCCTGGGGTCTCTTAGAGTCTAGGAGATGCTGCCTGTTGGGGAAGAAAAGGGAGGTGGTGCAGGTGCACTGTTGCTGGGTCCTTTGTCTTGAGGCTTTTATTTCTCTCTTGCAGGGGGACTCTTAGGGGAGGGTTTCAATATAACATTCATCAGTTTTGTAGGTGTGCTTCTTCAGGGTTGTGGTCCTCATGACTGGTCAACGTCAGGGCAGGGGGTCCTTAGTCATTGCAGCTGGTCCTGGTGTCACCACCTGGTTTTACTGCTTTTCTGGGTTGAAGCTGAAATGTAACTGAGGCCTAGATGTTATCTCCAGGGAGGTGGCCTGTATCTGTTGTAAATCTGTTGTCTGTTCAGCTCTGTCTCAGTTTCCCTGGTCCACTTGTCCTGGCTCACTGACCTGTCTCACAGGGCTTACAATATTTTTAAATTATCTTAATATACCTTGAACTTGTATGCTATCACTTTATCTACAATGCAAAACAAACAAACCAGTTCTTTGGAATGTGACTTTGACAATGAGCCCTGGGCAGCAAGAAGCAGTAATCTGTTGACCGAAAATGTGTGGCTGGGAACCAGAAACTTAGTCACTCAAAGCCCATGTCCTGCAGAAGTGGGAGGAACCTCAGGGAGCTTATAGTAAAATATTCTTTGAATTGACATAAATGGTCTCTGTTGTGATTGTGCATCATCCAGAGGACATCCCGGGTTGTAATCAAACCTCTCGTGGTTTTCATAGTCTAGTGGCCCGGTTAGACTACCCAAAGGCTAGCCAGCCTTTGTTCTCCATTAGAACCAGGAGGGGGGGAGGTGACGGCGTAGTGGGAGGGAAGTTGGAGGAAATTTTTCCCCTGAGCATGCTTGGAACACGCTCCCTCCACGCAGCGTTTTCACGTGATGTGTCGCTCCATTGGCCTCTCTCAGTTTTTTGTGTCTAGTTCAAAGCCAGGCTTTCTTCTCTCAGCCATTCCTACAAGCCTGGGCACATTTGCCCCAGCTCAGAGTGGAGATGGGTTTGTACCCATGCGGTCACTGCAGAGACCCGTCGGAGTCACTTTCTCCTCTTGGGCTCTGGCGGCTAGTACTTGCCCTAGGGACCCTCTGGCGCTGGCCACGCGCTGGCCGCTGAGCTCAGGTGTGCGCACTCTCAGGGTCCCACACGCGTCTCTGCAGCTCATCCCACGCACCGCCCTGACCCGGTGGAGCCCCAGGACACGGTGCAGACGCCCACGGTCCCGCGCAGAGAGCCCTGGAGCACCTGTCCCGGGAGCACCTGCCGCAGCCGGAGCGGAGCGCGGCCGCGCCACTCGCATCCCTTCCAGGCCAGCGGCGGAGGGCGCGGCGCGGAGCCAGGAGGGAGGAGCGCCGGGAGGAAGAGGCCGAACCGGGAGAGCCCCCGCCCCGGGAGGAAGGGGCGGAGGCCGGGCGTTTCCTGGCGCATTCCCGGCCCGCCCGAGTGACTCGATCCAGCAGGAAACTCCCATTGCCCACAAGGGACCCCCGAGCCGCCGCCGCGGACCCAGGTAAGGGCCGCTGCCGCCCCGCCCCGCGGCCCCGCGGGCTCCGGGTCGCCCTCGGAACCGGGACCAGGGCCCCGCGAGCGGCTAGGACTTGGTCTCCGGCGGCGCGGCCTCCCCCGCCGCACGGCCTCCGGAACCCACCCGCACGCCCGCCCTGGATCCCGCGGCCCACGCGGCAGAGCCTCGGCGGGGAGGGGGACACCGCGCGACGCGGTTATTGTTGGAGAGTAAGGAGCAGACCGCTTGCACTGAGGTCGTGCGATTAGCCGCTCTCCGAAGGCAGAGGGAGAGTCCGGCCCAGCGAAACCGTGCTGCGGGTTCCGGGGCGGGGTGACCTGGGCTTTGTTGGGCGCGGTGATTGGGGTGCGTGCCGCCCGCACAGACCTGCGGAGTTCGGGTGTGAGGAGTGGCGAGCGATTGGGGAACGGGCGGTGGGTACGTTTGTGCGCGTCCGGGCCCTGGCCTCCTCCCCCGCGTTGTCCAAACGGCACTGACTGCGGTGGCTGGTTCCACGCTGAAGCGGAGGATCCGCGCGTCTGGGGGCAACCCACACTTAGCAGCATTTCCTTCCAGTAGGACAGCGTCCCAGGGCCCCGGACAGGGTCTTGCCGCAGCTTCGCGAGCCCGGTGGTGAGCCTTCCCCGTTTTCTAACGTGACTCCTTGACCGATCCGTGATTGGAGCCGCAGTGATACCGGGACTGTAGCTCAGATCGCTGTTCTTGGCTACTTGTCACCAGCGAGAAGCAACAGCCCTGTCCAGGTTCCTGTGGCGCTGCGGGACCGTGTGCCCGGCCAGGTGCAGGGCCCTCAGGTGTGGTCCCTGTGCCTGCAGGCCATTAGTGGCTTCCGGGTGAAAAGCAGACGTGCAGGCACGGAACCCAAAGAAAGAATCGCATTTCAAATCAGGTCTCTGCAGAACAGTGGGAAGATGGTGCTGTTCATTTCCACACCTCCCTCTTCCACCCCCTTTTCCCACCCGGAGCGTCAGCTCTGCCCCGAGACAAACAGGGAATTGTGGTGGAAAACATTTCCTGTGCTCATGCATCTGTTTGTGTGCTGATAGATCGCTCAAAGAACCCACCTCCCCATTTTTTTGGTATGTGTTTATTTGAATTTATTTTTAAATTGACATACAGTAGAAGTCACTTTTTGGTGTACAGTTCAGTGAATTTTGACAAATGCATAGTCTTGTGACTGGCCCAACAATCAGGATGCAGAACAGCTCCACTGCCCCTAAAATCCCTTCCTGCTGTCCCTTTGGCGTCCCTTCCCCCATTTATAACTCCTGACAACCACTGTTTACTTTTTCCAGAATGTCCTCTATGGTCTTGGGTCTGGCTTAGTTCACTTAGCATAATGTATTTAGGACTCATCCATACTCCATTTTGCCTCTGAGTGGTACAGACATAAAGAATCAGAAAGTGTACTTCTAGATAAAACCGGAAAGATTCAAATAATATTTTTAAGTCAAGAGAAAAACTTCGGAACTCCAGCTCATTAAAAAAAATGTAAACAGCACAGGACTACTTATAGGAAAAGCAAAATTCCCTCAGTACTTCATTCTGTCTCTGTGCATACACAGTTTTGTTTTTCTGTGCCCTTGTTGGATGTATCATTGGTGAATTATCTCTTTTTCAGTAGGTTTGTTCCGTTTCGTTGATGGTTTTTTTCGTTTTTGAGGCTGTTGAGTTATGACTCATTGTCTAATTACTTTTTTAAAACTCTTTATTGTTTAAAGTATTACAGATGTCCCTTCTTTTTCCTCCCATTGTCCCCCCCATCCTGTCCCCCTCCCTGATGCCTTCACCATAGTGTTTTCTGTGCCCATTGGTTGTGCATATATGCATATAATTTCTCTGGTTTATCTCTTCCCACTCCTTCCCCCTTCCCTCTGAGGTTTGTCAGTCCGTTCCCTACTTCCCTTTCTCTGTATCTATTTTGTTCGTCAGCTTATTTTGTTCATTATATTCCACAAATAAGTGAGATCATGTGACACTTGTCTTTCCTTGACTGGCTTATTTTGCTCGGCATAATACTTTCCAGGTCCCTCCATGTCATCTCTCAAAGGGTAAGAGATCTTTCTTTCTTACTGCTGCATAATATTTCATTGTGTACATGTACCACAGCTTTTTTATCCACTCATCTACTGATGGACACTTGGGCTGCACTTTGTCTTTGATTTTTCACTAGCCTTTTGTAACAAACCATTCCCTGAAGCTAGTTTGGAATTTAGAAAACCTTGGGCTCTTTCCAGATCTTGGCTTTTGTAAATAGTGCTACTATGAACATAGGGGTGCATATATGCTTACTGATGGGTGTTCCAGGCTTCTTAGGATATATTCATAGAAGTGTGACCACTGGGTCAAATGGCAGTTCCATTTTTAACTTTTTGAGGAAACACCATAGTTCCCATAGTGGCTGCACCAGTCTGCATTTCCACCAGCAGTGTACTAGAGTCCCCTTTTCTCCACTCTCTTGCCAGCACTTGTTCTTTGATGATTTGTTGATGGCGGCCATTCTGACAGGTATGAGGTGATACCTCATAGTTGTTTTAATTTGCATCTTTCTGATGATAAGTGACAGTTGAGCATTTCGTGGCCATTTGTATGTCCTCTTTGGGGAAGTGTCTATTCAGGTCCTCTGCCCTTTTTTTTTCCTTTTTTTGTTAGTCAAGGATATTTTTCCATTGGTTTTTTAAGACAGAGTGGAAGGAAAGGAGGGAGGGAGAGAGAAACATTGATGTGAAAGGCACAATGATTGGTTGCCTCCCATAGGACCCCGACTGGGGCTGGAGACTGAACCTGCAACCCAGGTATGTGCCCTTGACCAGGAATCAAACCCAAAACCTTTCCCTCCATGGGCCAACCGCTCTAACCTCTAAGCCAACCATCCCAGGGCCTCTGCCCATTTTTATTTTTTATAATTTTTTTTATTGATTTTTTTTTTTGAGAGAGAGAGAGAGAGAGAAACATCGATGGGCTGCCTCCCTCATGCCCCCCACTAGGGATTGGTTCCACAACCTGGGCATGTGCCCTGACCAGGAATGGAACCAGGGACCTCTTGGTGTATGGGTCAGTGCTCAACCACTGAGCCACACCAGCCAGGCCCTCTGCCCATTTTCAAATTGGATTGTTTGTCTTCCTTTTGTTGAGTTGTATGGGTACTTAATATATTTTGAAAATTAACCCCTTATCCAAAGTATCATTGGCTAATACATTCTTCCATACAGTAGGTTCCTTTTTTTATTTTGATGCTGGTTTCTTTTGCTATAGCCCCATTTATTAATTTTTTCCTGTGTTTCTCTTGCCCTAGGTGATGTATCGGTGAAAATTCTGCTACATGTGATGTCTGAGATTTTGCTGTCTACATTTTCTTTTAGGATTTTTATGGTTTCATGACTTACATTTACGTGTTTTATCCATTTTGAGTTTATTCTTGCATATGGTGTAAGTTGGTGGTCTAGCTTCATTTTTTGGCATGTACCTGTCCAATTTTCCCAACACCATTTATTGGAGAGACTGTCTTTACTCCACAGTGTGCTCGTACCTCCTTTGTCAAATATTAATTGTGTATAATGTCTTGGATTGATTTCTGGGTTCTCTGTTTTGTTCCATTGATCTACATGCCTGTCCGTGTGCCAGTACCAGGCTGTTTTGATTACAATGGCTTTGTAGTATAACCTGATATCCAGAATTATGATCCTTCCAACTTTGTTTTTCTTTTTCAAGATTACTGTGGCTATTCAGGGTCCTTTTTGGTTCCATATGAACTTTTGGAGTATTGTTTCATGCTGTTGTAGTTTCCACTGAGTTTCTTGAACTTCTCACGAGTTCCTTGAGCATCTGCTTTGAAGTGCCCTGAATGAACACCACCGGGCCTCCCCACGCTGGCTCAGCAGAGCAGTGGTCCAGCTGACCTGGGCCTCTTTGTTGAGTGTGTAGAACAGGAAGTTGTGATGATAGAAGGAAGTTGGTAATGAAAGAAAAAAGGCTGCCTTCCTTTTTTCAAAAATACCAGGTATTTTGGACAAGATCTGCTACATTTTAAGTTAGAAACATGCCTAACAGATCTGCTGTTGGCAGGAGGAGTGTTCTGTAAATGCCAGTAGGTCCATGTGGTCCCGTTGTGTTCAGTTCCTGGCTCCTGCTGATTCACCATCAGTGACTGAGAATTGTTGCAGTCTCCTGCTCCTTTCTGTCTCTGGGTTTCCTTCTCCTTTCTGTCTCTGTCTGCTTGCTGTGGGCTGAAGCTCTCTTGTTAGCTGTATCCATATTCAGCATGGTTCCTGGTGAAGGTCCTGCTGTCCTGCGATGGTCCCTGGTAACATCCTTGCTCTGAAGTTAGCTGCTCACAGAGCCGCCCCAGCTTCCTTTTGACTTGCATGGTTCATCTTTTACCCTTTACTTTCAACCCGTCTGTGTCGTTATATTTGAAGTGTGCTTCTTGTAGTTGTCATATACAGTCACACGCCACATAACATTTTAGTCAACTGTGGACCCCAAGTACTACAGTGGTCCCATAAAATTGTCATGAGCTGAAAGAGTCCCATCACCTCGTGTCATTGGGATGCAGCAGCACATTGCATCACTGATGTGCTTGTGGGGACTCGGGTGTCAACACACTGCTGCCGCCTGCCCTCAAGGTGTGCAGTGGCTCCGCACTCTGGTGCGTGCACAGCAGAGCCTCCTAGCGACGTTTCTCAGCGCGTCTCTAAGCTCGCAGGGCTGTGCTGGGCCAATCAGTCATACCTGAGTAAGCCTCCATAAAACCCAAGGACAGGCTTGTTGGGAGAGCTTCTGGGTTGATGAGAACAGTGACATCTGAGCAGCATGCGTCACTCATGCCTGCTCACTGTCCTCCCCAATGCTCTGTGTGTCTCTTCCATTGGCTGTCCCTGAGTTATATCCTTATATAAACTGTAATCTCTTGTTAAATGTTCCTAAAGTTCTCTGAGCCTCTCTAGCAAATTAATCGAACCTAAGTAGGGGGTCAGGGGAACCTT